AAAAAAATCTTCCCTTGACCCGGATGGCAGGGTGCACGTCTCAGCCTCGGGGGCGCGGACCGCGTCTGAGAAACGGCAGGACGCAAACCGAGACTGTGACCTATGAAAGTCTTCAGAGCGCTCGGTGAATCTGAGGGGGGAGGGGCTCTTTTATCAACTGCCAATCTGCAGCGGCTGGAAGAGCAAGGTGGCTCAAGGAGGGTGTCATGTGACCTGTCCTTAAAGGGACCACTGCACCCGAAATTGAGATCCCAGGAACAATAGCGGAGAATGGGGCTCCCAGGATGTCTGACCGCCACCAGCATCTCTTTGATACAATGTAACGTCGGGGCCCCTTTATGTCATCAGCTGATACAATGTAATGTTGGGGCCCCTTTATGTCATCAGCAGCTGATACAATGTAACGTTGGGGCCCCTTGAAGTTATCGGCACCTCTCTGATACAATGTAACGTTCCTCGTTGGGGCCCCTTGAAGTTATCGGCACCTCTCTGATACAACGTAACGTTCCTCGTTGGGGCCCCTTGAAGTTATCGGCACCTCTCTGATACAACGTAACGTTCCTTGTTGGGGCCCCTTTAAGAGACTCTGTATAATAATCCCGCTATGAAGTCATTAATAATCCCGGCCGCGGCGTCCTCGCTGACATAACGCGTCACGTTCTCTCCGGCGCACACGTCACGCCGCTCCCAGGGAAGTCCGCTGAGTCACATGGGGGGGACAGCTTGTTCCTCTCTCCGGCGTAACGGGAAGCAGCAAATCACCGACTTCCGAAACCTTTCCAAACTTTCTAAACTTCCGTGACGACGGGATTCCCTCGGCCGGCGAGATGGGGGGAGGGGGGAAACGGCCTTTCCTGCGACACTCCAACTTTAAGGAGATGTTCCCTTAATTTAAAGGAGCACTCCACCCCAACATCGACATTGCGGCCGAAACGGTCTGATGGCCTCTTTGGTCTCTATAGGGCGCGCTGTCGCACCTTCCGCGGGGTGTTCCGGCTCCTCCTGTTACATGACTCAATATATATTATATATATAATAAAGGTGGGAACCCCTCGTGATGGCAGCAAGTGGGCGGAGCTGACCAACACAGGAAAAAAAAAGTACACATGGTAATCTTTAGTTCTCATGTCCCGTTCAGCCTGCGCAGGCTCTTGAAGTGTTCACGACTTTGGTTTTTACACCTTTTTGCTACCCGGTCATCGCGCGTCTCATGAACGCCCCCCCCCCGCGGCCCCA